AAAGAGCCTCTTGATGAAAGTGAAAGAGGAGAGTGAAAAAGTTGGCTTAAAGCTCAACATTCAGAAAATGAAGATCATAGCATCTGGTCCTATCACTTCATGGCAAATAGATGGGGTAACAGTGGCAGACTTTATTTATTTTGTGCTCCAAATCACTGCAGATGGTGACTGCAGCCATGAAATTTAAAGATGCTTACTCCTTGGAAGGAAAGTTATAACCAACCTAGACAGCATATTAAAAAGCAGACATTAGTTTGCCAACAAAAGTCCATCTAGTCAAGGCTATGGTTTTTCCAGTAGTTGTGTATGGACATGAGAGTTGGACTATAAAGAAAGCTGAGCGCCGAAAAATTGATGCTTTTGAACTGTGGTGTTGGAGAAGACTCTTGAGAGTCCCCTGGACTGCAAGGAGATCCACCCAGTCCATCCTAAAGGAGATCAGTCCTGGGTGTTCATTGGAAGGACTGATGCTGAAGCTGAAACTCAAATATTTTGGCCACCTGATGTGAAGAATTGACTCATTTGAAAAGACCCTGATGCTGGGAAAGATTGAAGGTGGAAGGAGAAGGGGACGACAGAGGATGAGATGGCTGGATGGCATCACTGACTCAATGGACCTGAGTTTGGGTAAATTACAGAAGTTGGTGATGGACAGGGAGGCCTGGCGTGCTGCAGTCTATGGGGTCACAAAGAATCAGACATGACCTGAGTGACTGAAGTGGAGCCCCAGTCCAGCTCTTTCCTCACTGAGCCCTTGAATCCATACTGCGTTGAAAAGTTTTGATGATTATGGATATGTCCTTAAAGAAAATGTAAATTAGGCTGAGCTGGTAAATAAGGTGATAACATACTTATCTTTAATTATTTGTGAAACTTATCGAAGTATTCTGTTATTAACTAGTTGTGAGAGACTGCCTAGGACCATCCTCTCATGAAGCACAGCATATAAGCGTCTTTTTCCAGGGCAACTCTGTTGGACTAACATTGGTTCTCTCATGATGGAGGTGGTGAGCATGAGGCAGGATGCCAACTTGTTTAGTTTCAGGTTGATCCAGCTTTTAAAATCCTGTTCTTATTCTTTGAGGCATATTGTATATTTCACTGATGGAATGGATGGTTCTGTAAATGAAGGGATATGTAAACTTGCTACTGTACTTCAACACCATCAGTAGTCACTGTGAACCATTAAAAAGAGTGTGGCAATTTGTTTGTGCCTTAAAGGAGGAATCAGAACCACAACGTGCAACTTTGTGGGGACCACATAGGTTCATTGATTGACCTTCAGCTAACAGTGCTATGTTTGTGTGCCTGTTCATCACTTCCAGCATTTCAAGATATCCAGACACTACTACCAACCCTTTCCTGTGCGTTAACCTCTGCATGTGAAACCTAACAGTTGCTGAACTTTACAAATACATGAATTTTAAAATTTAGGTAGATGCAGTTTTTGTCTGTTGACTGCTCTTCTCAGCTTTATTTGATAAACTTGCATTTTGAGGGTTGTATTGGCAGTTTTAACTTTAAAAAAAAATCAAGGTCGTGGCTTGCCTGTGTATAGTGACAAGGGAGACTTGTTAATAATAATAAACAGAGGTAAATGGAGTAGCAAAACTTCTATGAATTAGAAGTGGCATTAGTATTATCTTTGAAGAATTTTCTCACTTGGGAAAAACAAAGGTTCGAACCTGGGCTCTGCAGTCAGATGCTCTTGGGATCGAGTCCCGTTTTCACATGTGTGAGCTGCGTGAGACATCAGTTACTTAACTTTCTGCAGCCTCTATTTTCTCAATGAAAACAGAAATGCTACCCACATCATCTGGGCACTTTAAAGTTTAAATGAGATGATGCAAAGCACTTAACAGAGTGCTTAATGCAGAAATGGTCTGATTGTTTTAGTCAGTATACCTTTGGTTTAAATGAAAATTATATTCATATGTACATTTGTATGTTCATTTATATATTGCAGTTAATTTTCACAAAATATTTTTATGAAAGGGTTCTTTTTTTAATGATAATATGTGCTGTTTGGCTCTATTTTCAAAATATGATGCCTAATATAGTTTAAATAGACCCAGGGAAGTTTTTACTACTAAAATGAGTTGGCTAGCTTATGGGAATAAGAACAATAGAGCTTTTTTTTTTTTAAATGACATGGGGTAAAAACATGGTGAATATCTTTGCCTACCAATTAAAGTGTGTATGAAAAACAGAATAAAAATCTCTTTAATTTATGCATTTTGTGTTCTCATAAATCATTTTCCTGTCAAAATTATCAGACTTTATTATTGCTGAATATTTTAAACATCATAATGAAATTTTGGTAGCATAAATCATGAAGCTTTCAGTAAGAACATTTGTTTACATACCTCAGCATTTTTCATGTATCTTGATTAAAAAAAAAAATAGTCCTCAATCTAAAAGTAAATCCACACAGAGTATAAATGTCAAACCATACTCTTAAATTTCAGTAACTCAGCAATCCATGGTAGGCATTGTGCTTACAAGGTAGTTATGGATTGTCATACTATGTTTCTAACACTCACTCTTCTCAAAGATGAAGCTGTGTGAGCTTGTATTTTAGTGTTGGTATTGATTTCTATACAAGCTTCCTACCTACAGATTTTATCTACTCACTTTTTCTATGTCCTGCAAGAAGAAAAATATTTCAGACATGATAAATCTATAACTTGTTCTTGACATTAGAAAATAATTTATTTTTATTTAATAAAAGCATTACTCAATAAATTTCACCTGTAATTTGCAAGAGAGACAACTGGTTTGGATTATGTGTGTAGTCTAGAGTATTAGATCTAAATGGAAGGTACTAGCATGAGGAGTAAACTCCATTGAAGGTGATACCAACCAGGGCTCTTGGCCTTCCTTAAGCAATGGAAACTGGTAAGAGGCAAGAAATTCAGGCAAGGCTTTATTGGGGCCCCTGCTACAGCAGTTGGGGGACAAAAACAAGTAGCAGTTGCCCTTGCTTACTCCCTCACTGGGGTGTGATGAGCTGGTTCCTTAAAGGAGTGAATGAGGGGTGTGTCCAGGGATCCAGCCAAGGGGTGGCTTAGGTGCTTGGCCCATGCCTTTGGTGGTGAGTGCAAGGGGCATGCGCAGTATTTGATTTTGCTCCCAACACCTTGTTTTTCTCCCTGCTCTTCAGAAATGGCACTTGAATTTTGTGGTCTTTTTGTGTTGTCTTGTCCATAGTTTGCCCCAACTGCCCAACCGTGTATTTATTTTTAGTCCCTTATCATTTCTTTGCATTTTGTTGCTTAAGGAGACATTTGTCCAGGTGCAAGCACTGCAGCAATTGGTCGAGGTCCCAGCCTGTCACAAAGGTAGTCTGGTGCTTGGAATGATGCAGAAGACTCTATCCATGGTGATTTGACTGAAGAAAAAAATCACTATACATTTTTTTGTTTTATTTGTGTAGTGGCAAACTGAAGCTCATTCATTGACTTTAACCTGGAATTAAGGATAAAGGATCCATTAATGAGAAACACTGCCTGATCCAGAGTTTTTAATGTTCTTTTACTTTTTAAATGGCTTTGCTTCAGGAGCAACTTCCTCTATAATCTCCCATCTAGGAATTTTACATGTGATTCACTTCAGTGACGTGTGTTATTATGATTGCAAAGTTCACAGTATTAGAAAGACTATAAGGCAAGAAATTGTAATATGAATAATCAGTTGCTGTATCAAGAATGTTTGAAATACTTTCTATGAATCTAATTATTCCCGTGAATCCTGAGAATGACCTTTTGATAGTTAGAATAGGGAAGACATTTAATGTTTATTGTCCATTATATGCAAGGCATTGGGCCTGCTTTTTGACACACATAAGTTCTTAGTAATCTTAACAGACTTATGAGGTGAGGGTTTACAGATGAGGACTTTAGAGAAATTAAGTAAACTTACTTAACTCAGCTAGTGAATGGCAAAGCCAGTTAGCCTCCAAAGATTTTAACAAGAGCTTTGGAGAAAGTGCCCTAAACTAATAGAGAGACACAGTCAGATTTTAGATTTAGCAATTTGACTAAATTATGCCCACTTTAATATCAAGATGTCTTAATACCCATTGTATTTTAATTTAAATATATATTATTTGCATACATACAGAAGTGACATTCTAATTTTATATGATTATAGAAATTATTTTCTAATTTATGATGTTTTCTTGTGTTATTAAGTATTCTTTGATAGTGTGATTTTTAATACCAACATAACATTCTTTTATGTTACTATTCCATGATTTATTGAACTATTTCTCTATTGTAGGACGTTTAGATTGTTTCAAAGTTTTAGTTATTATAGTAATAATCTAGTGAATAGCTTTGTCCATAAACCTCTCATGTGCATGTATGATTATTTCTTTATATTCCTAACAATGTATTAGAATGCCCATTCAGCCATCTTTACCAATTATAGGAAAAGAGAAGATAAAACATTATCAAAGGATTTCTTTGATTATTAATGATTTCAGGTATTTCAGTTGTGAATTATTTTTTATGTTCACCAACTGTTTTTTTTCCATTGCTATGTCTACTTTTTTGCATTGGTATAAGAACTTAGTTTCAAGGACATTAAACCTTTCTCTTCCCTGTTTTTTTTTTTAAAAAGAAAAACATTAGTAAATAATTGCATTGGGAAACTCTTGAGTGAGTTTTAAGCTCATGAGTATCATGGTTTTGGCTACATTTTTCAAAGCTCTGTCTTGGTCCTGTGTGAAGAACTAGTCACAGGGAAAGGAGATGAGTCACTTCAGAGAGACCAGTTGGGAGATTGTTGGACCCAAGTTCAGGGGAGAGATGATGATAACTGTGGCTATGACAGTAATAGAGATGGAAAGAAGTGAGAGAAGTGTTTGGACTTGAGATATGCTTTAGAGGGAAAGTTAATAGGAGTTGCTGGTGGATTATGTGAAGAATGAAGGGGAAAAGAGGATAAAGCATAGTTCCTAGATGTTTGGTTTGAGGACCCGGGTGAATGGTGGTACCATTTCATGCTGTGGAGGAAACTGGGGTGGAGGTAGGTTGTATTTTATTTGAGACACTTATGAGATATTGATGTGACGATATCACATGGGTAAATCAGGTTAGCATTCAGGTGGGTGTGATTTGGTTGTCATTGGCAGATAGATGATTTGAAAGCCATGTGACTGGATGAAATCACCGAGGAGAAAGTGTGAACGAGAAAGAGGTTAGGAACATTTAAAAGCTGAGGAGGGGAGAAGCGGCAGCAAAGATGACTGAGGAGTAGCCAGTGAGTTGAGAGAAAGGAAAGTGTAATGACAGGGAAGTGAAGGAATTAAGTGTTTCAAGAAAGAGGGAAAATCAACCTCGTGAAATTATTGGCAGAAGTCAATTAAAGTAGGAAGAGGAAATAGATTTTTGGATTTGGTGACCTGGAAATGATTGATACTTTTGAGCAGTTTCAGTGGAATGATTGGAGGGGCAGAAGTCTGACAGGAGGGATTCAGAAGACAATAGAATATGTACATATGAGTGTTATAAGAAGAGTGGTTTTTCTCTCAAAGAATGTGCATGTTTAAGGACTCGGTTGTTTATAAGACATTATTTAGATCACTTATTTCATGTGATGCACTAAAGCTAATAGGCATATAGAATAAAAACAAAATTTTTCAGAGTAATGAATTAAGAACTAAAATGGGATTTTGTGAGAGAATGGAATTTTCCATTGCATTTGTCCAAGTACTTTCAACCACAAAAGTAGTATGTCTGTTGGACACTATCACTATCTTGGTTTTCATATTAGTTAAAATATAGCCCTGTTATTTCTGTTCGCCTGCCCTTTGTTCTTATGGTCTATCATCAACCTCTTCTACACCTTGGATTTTGGCCAAGAAATAGCAAGACCTTTTTCTCCCTACATTTTTAGGCTTTCTACTAATTTCAAAACCAGGAATTGCTCAAGCGAAATAACTCATGACCTCTGAAAGTGTCTAACGATCTAATCTCTGGATCCATGAGTGACAAAAGACTGTGGCTGGGAGCACTTGCCTTTCTTCCTAACTGATATGTTGGAATAGTCTGGGCTTTCACTAGTCAATTTTCAGGTTTAACAATTAGTAATATAACTTCCTAAATTTCATGCAACGATCTCAGGCTGGGATCATATTTCAAATATGGAGGGTTGGATGATGGGTGTAGAGGTGGTAAATGAAGGTTGTATTCCTTTATTTTCTAAACCGTTGGCAAATTGGGATATATATATGTATATAATTTTAACTTAAGGTGGGGAAAACATTTTGGAGATACTTGAGCAGATTAACAAATAGTATTTGTATACATGTAACTAAAACAGTAATTTATCAGGTAGAAGGCAGATGGGGGGAATAAAATGCCAACCTGTATCTACAGTTGGGTTGTGTTCATGATGAAGTGGTATTTATTCAGGGCCAGCCTGGCTTGTCAGGAACATAAGAGGTGTCGCAGAACATGACTCCCTGTGTAGCTAGAAGACAGTAATAAATTATCTCCTATGCAAACAGCACCAGCATAAAAGCGGAACAAACAAACCCTGCCTCCCAGACTCCTGAAGAATCTTACTCTCTTGCTTGTTTGACTATGTTTTAAACATGAAATTCCTGGCATTATCCTAAAGCCAGTGAGATTGAATCTGGCTGGGGCAATTTTATTAGGGTGGATAGGACGTAGTTGTTGACGATCTCTGTTTTGGGATTACTGCAAAATGTAAGTATTTTGTTTCTCTGAGTCACATAAATCTTTGTTTTATCAATACTCTGTGTGATCCTGTGGAATTCAGGGCCACCCAGAGGAAAACTGGGGAATTATTATACAAAGGAGCTTGATTCTAAGAATCACTTGAAATACATAATGAAATTACAGATTCTTGGACCCAATCCTGGGCTGCTAAATGAGAACCTCTGACAAAGTGGCCCAAAAGTACACATCGCAAGGTGATGTTAATCACGAGGCCAGAATGAGCAGCAGGGAGCTGAGGGCCTGAGTCAGTAAAAGACATGTGACCGCACTGAGAGAGTGCAAAGGGTTGGTTCACAGGAGAATATATAAATTAAAAATGGCTCCCCAGAGCAGTGCTTTTCAGGTTTCCATGTGCATTTGAATTGCCTAGGATTTGTGGGAAATGCAGACTCTGCTTCAGTAGGTCTGGAGTGTGACCTGAGACCCTGCTTTTCTAACAAGATGCCTGATGGTTCCAGTGCTGCTGGATTCGACTTTAGCAAGATCCTGGGGCCATCATTTTAACACAGACAAGTCCAGAGAGACTGGAGCTCAGCCAGCATTTTTGAATAGCACATATTCCATAAGTAGGGCTTTGAATAATGCTGATTCTACTGAGTACTAATTTTGCCCTCAGGTACCAGTAAAATCTGCTTTCTCTTGCCTGAGGGGCCCAGCTAGAAGTGTCATGGTAATTACTATTGTGTGTCACAATCTTTTAGAAGTGGTACGTCTTCTTTCAAGGATTTATAAATATGTTGGGGGGAATGAGTTTATGCACATCATGAAAAAAATATTTTGAAAGGAAAATTCTAGGTCTTTTTATGCCAAAGCCTTCAGTCATCAGAGATAAGATGTACATGGTTGTTGTCCATTATTGTTTTCCTTTGAGACCTCATTTTTGTTTACAATTCATAACAGCAAAAAGCTCAGCATTGAGATTCTTGATAGTTAACATCAATAATGATTTGAAATAATTTTATCTATTGGATGCACATTGTGTATAAGGTCCAACGAAAAAACTCATTCTAAAAATCTACTTTTCTAAGTGAATTAATTTTTGAAGTACTTATTTAAAGATTATTATTACGACACTTGGACAGTAAGTTAAATGCATGAAAGCTGAGTGTGTGCATACTTCCAAAAGCTATTGTATGCGAGCATCATACACTTCATTACCAGGTCAATACAACAGATCCTTTGTGTTCATCAGCAATCTATCCTGAGATCTTTGTGAGTTCCCTTGTGCACTTCCTGGTAACCAAAAGTGAAAGTAGCCTCACGAGATGCCTCGTGAGAGCGGTGGCCGCAGGAGTAGACAGCAAGGCTCCCAGAGGCAGGGAAGCCGCTGATGGGTTGGGTCCACCCAATGGCCAGGTTTCTCCTCTCCTCTCTTGGTGACCTCGTCAGCCTTGACATTCAGCTCAGCAGAATTACAGAGTACATGTATTATTGAATATTTCAAATGGCTGGTAAATAGTCTAAGCTACAAATATCAAATCCACAAGTGTTAAAGAGCTACCATATACATTCATCTGGACATGAAAAAAGTCTGCACCTATATGCGCCGCACTGTTTAGCTCTTCCTAATGGTTATTTGAGGTGGAGGTGTGTGGTGTTTCCACTTCCTATGGGCTGTTTTTCTGTACTACTTTAATGTTTTACCAGTGGCATGCATAATTCTGATGACTTTGTAATCAGAAAAAAAATTAACAATTCTTTATATCTCTTGAATGCACATTAAGGTGATTTTTCATTGAGTAGAGCTATGGATTATCAGGTGATGATTATATGATTGTCATTTACAGATGCTATTAGTATTATATATATACATATCTTATGATAAAGGATTATGTAGCACAGGTTGATTTTATATGTCTCTCCAGTCATTCAACAAACTTTTCTTGAGCAACTAGTATATGCCAGGCATTGTGCTAGGGGGTAACATATGGTCTTCAGTGTATTTTTTTAAGAAAGAGAGATAACCATACAGACAAAAAGTGGGTCTCGTTGTAGTTAATAAAATTCTAAAAGACCAGGACATTCCCACAGATGATGTGAGTCACAGGTCTGGATACACTCTGTGATGATGGGTCCCCTTTCCACAGTTATTCCTTCCTCTTTAGATGTCACATAGAAAGAGCAAGCAGTTCTGACATCACATCCCTGACACAAATCTCCTAGACTTCTACATTGGAATAAAAAGCATTTGATAAACTCAGCTGAGTATATCCTCAGGAATTCTGCTTGGAGTTAATAATCATTAGAAAACAATTATAGAAAAAAACAATAACTTCCTACTTTTCTAGTGGGTTATAATAATATTCTGCAGTCATTCCTATGTCATGTGAACAATAAAAGGAAAAGTACATTTTACAAAGTCAAACATTTTAGAGAAAAGATGGTAAGCTATTTATTCCTCTCTAAACTGTTCTTAATGATAACAGCAAAGATGCCTTCCTTTCTTGGTTTAGGAAAACAAAACTAAACAAGGAATGTATACTTCAAGCCATAGTATGAGAAATTTGCAAACTTTCTCAAAGCAAAGTATTTATTTCATTTCTATCTAATAATAAGTATCATTGGTAATACATCTTAAGACTGGACAATTTTGTGGCATGATTCACCAGAGCCGAGCAACTTGACATTAATATCAAATTGCCTGTTGTTTCAGAACTGTACATTTCACAGCAGTATCACCAGTGATTTGAAAGCGTTCACAGACAAGTTCGGTTTTGATGTCCTCATCCTCCTGGCCAGTTACCTGTCGGAGGATCAGCAGCCCAGACAACAGATCGCTGTGTACTCCGAGAACCTAGAGCTGTGCAGTCAGGTAAGAACTTCCTTGACCCAGCGATTTCACTGAACCCCCATCTGCTGGCTCTCAGAACCACGGAGTAGAAGATGGCAATGGACTGGTGGCTTAGAGAAATTGGTTCAAGAGATAAGGTCCTAGAATTTGAGTTTTAAGAAATGTTGGAGGCTGGGTTTCCCTGGTGGCTCAGTGGTAAAGAATCCATCTGCCAATGCAGGAGACACTGGTTTGATCCCTGATCTGGGAAGATCCCACATGCTGGGGAGCAACGAAGCCAGCTACATGTGCTCAACGTGCTAAACTATTGAGCCTGAGCTCTGGAGCCTGGAAGCTCCAACTACTGAGCCCACGTGCGACAACTGCCGAAGCCCATGTGCTCCACAGCAGTGCTCCACAACAGGAGAAACCACCGCAGTGAGAAGCCCATGCACCGCAACTAGAGAGTAACCCCTGCTTGGTGCACCTAAAGGAAAGCCCAGCGAAGACCCAGCACAGCCAAAAACAAACAAATAAATAAATTGATGGTAGCTTAAATATTACTTCAAAAGAAGACATGTTAGGGGTATTTTGCACATTTGGCTAGTTATTTCTCAAATGAATTAACTAATTAGTTTTAAGTGCTTTAATTCAGTTTTTAAGTTTTTAGCTGTTATGCTCTGTTACCAAAAGAATCATCTAACTAGAATTGGCAGTGAGGTAAATGTTGACTTTTTTTTTTAATTGAGGTATAGTTGACAGATAGCCTTATACTAATTTCAAGTGTACAACATAATGATTCAGTGCTTGTATACGTTGCAAAATGATCACCACATTAAGTCTAGTAACATCCATCATATATATAATATTTAAATATAATTATATATTTTTTATAATATATATATTTTTTTCTTGCAATTAGAACTACTCTCTACTCTCTTGTGTGCGAGCTAAGTCCCTTCAGTTCTGTCCGACTCTATGCGACCCCATGGACTGTAGCCCGTCAGGCTCCTCTGTCCATGGGACTCTCCAGGCAAGAATATTGGAGTGGGTTGCTCTGTCCTNAGGGATCAAACCTGAGTCTCTTATGTCTCCTGCATTGGCAGGCAGGTTCTTTACCACTTGCGCCACCTGGGAAGCCCTTCTACTCTCTTAGCAACTTTCAAATATGCAATACAGTGTTGTTAACTATAGTCACCATGCTGTACATGACATCCCCATGACTTACTTATAACTGGAAGTTTTTACCTTTTGACTCCCTTCACCCATATAGGGACTTTAAGAGATTCCCATAACCATTTCTTTTCTTGGCTGAATCCATAAAGAGAAAGATCGTATCTTTTTCACCCAAATAAAATTCATTGTCCTTTGGCTACTGTTTGCTTTGAGGACTGCTACCTGGTAATAACTAACAACCTGTTTGGTTCCCAGTGTTTAATAACTGATCTCAAGCTTTAATCAAAGTTGTATTTTGATACAGCCACTAATCAAATACCTTGGACATGGCGGAGAGAAACATACATTTTTTTTAAAAAGTTTTTCTCCAGGTACTATAATAAAATTCTGTTTGGGTAATCAGATCTTCTTGGTTGAGAGCTGAGTCTTTTAACCCAGTTCAGTTCAGTTTGGTCACTCAGCTGTGTCCGACTCTTGGCAACCCGATGAATCGCAGCACACCAGGCCTCCCTGTCCATCACCAACTCCCGGCGTTTACTNGGTGGAGCAATAGGTAAGAATGCGCCTGTCAATGCAGCGGACATGGGTTTAATGCCTGGTCTGGGAAGATTCCATGTGTCATGGAGCAACTAAGACCCCCATGGACTATAACTACTGATCCCACATGCTCGAGCCCACGCGCCGCGGCTATTGCGGTTGCACGCGGCTGTTACTGAAACCCGAACGCCTACAGCCTGTCTCTGAGGCAAGAGAAACCACCGCAGTGAGAAGCCCATGCCCCGCCCTGAAGAGTGGTGGCCCTGCTCACCACGGCCAGAGAGAGCCCACACGGCAACAGAGACCCGGTGCATCCAAAGTAAATAAGTGATTTAAAAAAAACCACATTCCTTTTAAAAAACATCACTGAAAATAGGGCAGTGGATATACCAAATCAGGCATATTTAATAACTCATATGAGACTATACATAATTCTTTATAATATGGATGACACAGATATAGAACCATTTCATCACTTACCTCTCCTCACTAATGTCTTAGACACCTGGTCTACTCACAGGTGGCTAGAGGTGAAGTCTCAGCTCCCTTCTTTTCAACATCCTCATTTTCTGTCCCCCAAGAGATCCAGTTCTTGACACTCTCCAGGTTCCCTGTGTCCTTAAGTCCAAATGTGAACAAGCCCCCTGCTCTTGCAAAAAATGGGGATAAAATTCCTACTGGGGGGCTTCCCTGGTGGCTCAGTGGTGAAGTAACCACCTGCCAGTGCTAGACACCCAGGTTCGATCCCTGAGCCAGGAAGATGTCACATGCTGCAGAACAACTGAGCCTATGTGCCTGAGTCTGGGAGCCACGACTGTCGGAGCCTGCATGCCCTAGAGCCCCTGCTTTGTAACAAGAGAAGCCACCTCAATGAGAAGCCCGCGCACCTCAACGAAGAGTACCCTCAATTGCTGCAACTAGAGAAAAGCCCGAGCAGCAGTGGAAACCCAGTATGGTCAAAAATAAATAAGAAATAACTTTTTGAAAATTTTCTACCTTGTAGAATTATTGTGAGGATTAAAGGAGATATTGCACATAAAATCTTTAGAACTCTGCCTGGCATATGAAAACAGTCAATGAATGTTAATTATTATTATTATTATTATTATTGTCTGTGTGAGCTCTGTATTTATAACTGGTTTTGTTGTTATTACCTCCACTAATCCTCTGGGGTCATTTCAAAGGCCCAGTGTGCAAAATGTCGTCAGCATTTCCCAGGAAGTCATAGAGCTACAGCACAGTTTTGGCCTCACATCTCCCTACTTTCCACCGAAGTTCTGTCTGTTCTGGACTCGGTGTCAGCGCTTCCGGGGGCAGGAGGAGATGGCTGGAGCCTAAGTGCTGTTGAGAAAGCTGCCCCTGGAAACTGCTTCCTCTTCCTGCTTTCTCCTTTACCTTAAAGCAGGTCTCAGCTGCCTATGACAAACAGGAGTCTTCCTTCTGCACCATTTTCCCTAGTCCAATATTTCCCCCCAGTTTTGTCTACAACTAGCATTATCTCTGCCTTTCACAAAGCTGAATTTTGTTCCTGTTGGACGATGGCATTAAGTTACACTGAGGAAAAGGATTTAAATAGTTTTATCTTTCTTTACGTATAACTTTTTAGAGCCAGCAAAACTGAGCAACTGGATTTGGGGTTCAACAAAAAGCCAGTTTGGTTGGATTAGAGAATGTGGTGGTAAATTAAGTGGGATTTGGCATGTCTTGCATTCTACAATTCTCAGTTCTGTCCTTTTTCTAGACAGATGAACACAGATTAATTTTACATTACAGAAAATTAAGAAAGACAAATTGCAAAGGGCAAAGAGAACCTGAGTGCTCACACAAATCCCTGCTCCTTCCCGACAGATCTGCTGTGAACTGGAAGAGTGCCAGAACCCTTGCCTGGAGCTGGAACCCTTTGAGTGTGGCTGTGATGAGATCCTGGTGTACCAGCAGGAGAACCCTTCAGTGACTTGTGATCAGGTGGTTCTCCTCATCAAGGAAGTCATCAACAGGAGGTGTCCGGAGATGGCCTCCAACAGCCGGACATCCTCCACAGAAGCGGTGGCAGGCAGTGCGCCACTCTCCCAGGGGTCTTCGGGGATTATGGAGTTGTACGGTTCTGATGTAGAGCCACAGCCCAGCTCCGTGAACTTCATGGAAAACCCTCCTGATCTCGGCGATTCTAACCAGGCCCCGGTGGATGTCAACGCGGACCTGGTGAGCCCAGACAGCGGGCTGGCCACCATCAGAAGCAGCCGCTCGTCCAAGGAGAGCTCCGTGTTCCTCAGTGACGACAGCCCCGTGGGAGAAGGGGCAGGGCCTCACCACAGCCTGCTCCCCGGCTTTGACTCCTATAGCCCCATCCCCGAGGGAGCAGTAGCCGAGGAGCATGCCCGCTCTGGAGAACACGGGGAATCATTCGACCTTTTCAACTTTGGCCCAGCACCCAGGGTTTCTGGGCAGTCCCAACCATCCTCCCATTCTGCCGACTACTCCCCAACAGATGACTTCTTCCCCAACAGCGATTCCTCAGAAGGACAGCTCACCATGGGGTCTAAAGAACTTGACAGGAGGGGGATAGACATGCCTAATTATTCATCCAGTTCTCTCTTGTCGGGGGCTGGCAAAGAGAGTCTCGTGGAATTTGATGAGGAGTTTGTCCAGAGACAAGAAAGTCCCGGGGATAATTCGGAAAGAAATTTGAGCCTGACTGGTTTTATGCAAGATGAATCTCCTTCTCCAGAAAGTCTAAAAACTGTTGGAAAGAGGATCCCACCGACACCTATGAATAGCTTTGTGGAAAGCTCACCATCCACTGAAGAACCAGCTCTGCTCTATTCAGAAGACGTGACCCCCAAGACAGTCAACACAGGTCACCCAGGGCCACCTCTAACCCGGGTGCGATGCAGCAGCTGGTGGGATGGTTTGGAAATTGACTCTAAAAATATCGCGGATGCATGGAGTTCCAGCAAGCAGGAATCTGTCTTCCAGAGCCCCGAGTCCTGGAAAGATCATAAACCAAGCCCAGCTGATAGGAGAGCCTCAGACTCTATATTTCAATCCAAGAATCTCAACTTCCCAAAGTCAAGTCCCTGGGAGTCAGAATTTGGTCAGCCTGCGCTGGGCAACAAGAAAATTCAAGACTCAAATGAGAAGAACTTTCAGTTTCAGGACATGCCCCCTGAGAAATCACATTTGGTGAGCGTTTCTCCTCGCGGAACAAACCACCTGATAGAAGACTTCACTGCCCTGTGGCGTTCTGACCGCTCTCCCACAGCCATGCCTGAGCCGTGGGGAAACCCCACAGATGATGAGGAACCAGCTGCTGCAGCGTCGTTCCCAGCCTGGAGTGCATTTGGTGAAGAAGGTGACGCCAACGCTTTGAAAAATACTTGGAATCTACACCCAACGAGCAGCGAGACACCTTCTATAAGAGACCCAAGCGAGTGGGCCATGGCCAAAAGTGGGATTTCTTTCCCTTCAGAAGACCTCGTGGACAGTTCACCCAGAGAGGCAAATAACGAAGCAGTTCCAGAAATCTGGGGCAAGAAGAACCATGACCCCAGGGACGATATTCTCATATCTGGAAATCCCACATCTGATCTGGATCATCCATGGAATAGTTCTAAGCCAGCAAAGGACCATCAGAAGAGTGTGGTGGACCCAACAATTAGAGGCACGATGTACAAAAATATAGATTCTTGGAACCTTTTCGAGGAGAGTAACAAGGAAGGAGGTTCAGATGTCCCAGCACCTTGGGAGGATTCCTTCTTATCCTATAAATGTTCTGACTACAGTGCATCCAACGTAGGGGAAGACTCAGTGCCCTCCCCCTTAGACACCAACTACTCCACCTCTGACTCTCACACTTCCCCAACATTGGCCAGAGAGGAGAAAGAAAGCAAAGACAAGCCACTCACTGAAGAGGAGGGTTTTGAGTCACAAGATGCTAACTGTTCTGCAGGGGGCGCCGACGTGCCTCCTCAGTCCCCGCAGCAGCCACCAAGAAGTCGAATTAGTTCAGGTCCTGGGACCCTGGAAATGTGGGCTTCATCTCAGGCAGATGGTGGCTCAGAAATAAATGCCACTCACAGCCCAGACAAAGATCTACTCCAGGTGGAGCCCACGGATGATCAGAATGTCTCCCTGGAGGATGACATGGGGGAAAGCAGCCAGTCCAGTTATGACGACCCCAGCATGATGCAGCTGTACAATGAGACAAACCGACAGCTCACCCTTCTGCACAGCAGTGCTGATGCCCGGCAGGCAGCCCCGGACAGCCTCGACACATGGAACAGGATGATTCTGGAGGACACGCAGTCTACTGCAACCATCTCGGATTTGGGCAATGACTTGGACTGGGATGACTGCAGTGCCGGTGTGGCCATCACTGGTGAAGGTCAGGCACAGGGGTACATGGTGGAAGGTAGCGAACCTGAAACCCGATTTTCAGTGAGACGGGTAGAACCCTGGGGCGTGGAGTATCAGGAAGCAAATCAGGCAGACTGGGAACTCCCTGCCTCTTCTGAGCACAGCCTGGACATGGCTCCTGATGAATACCACCTCCTGAATGAGAAAAGTGGGCAGCTGATCGCAAATAGTATTTGGGATTCTGTCATGAGAGATAATGCCATGTCGTCATTAATGTTACCCAGCCCATCGTATGCTACAGATACAGAACAGAGCAAATCACCTGAAACAACCAGCTCATTAGAAAAAATTCAGGACAGTCACATTGCAGACATGCTGGAAGCTTCTGGAGNTTAGAAAAAATTCAGGACAGTCACATTGCAGACATGCTGGAAGCTTCTGGAGCCAGTGAATCTGAAACAATCGATCCTGACAAGCAGAACACATGTGGAGGTACCCTGCCAAATGATACAGCATATTTGGTGACCAGACTTGAGAATCCAGAGCATTTTGCGTGCTCAGAACCCCAGAAGGGTCCTAGCTATGGACAAAAGGACAGTGAAAAGGAATTCCATGGAGCTGCTGATAAGGAGCACCCCAGTGATGAGCTGATGTATGGAGCCTCGGAAGCTTCTGGAAAAGGGCAAGCTAGCCAGGAATGCCCATCCCCAGCTGCATCTGATCATCAAGAAATCTCCAGTGAACCAGAATTTTCAGTGACTTCCAGTCCTCAGACCAAGGAACCCAAGGAAGTATTAGAGCAGGAGAAGAGGTCTTACACTCCAGACCCCTGTGATGTGCAAACAGAGGTGTCCACAGATCACTTGCTGGTAAGAGAGACCTATGAAGAGCACCTCATGAGCCCCAGAAGAAATTCAAGTGAAACTACTGAAATTCCAGGTAGGCCAAATTCCACAAAAAGTGTGTCTCTACCTAAAGTGGATGTGGAGAAACCTGAAGAATGTGACATTCTGGAGCCAGAGAAAATTAACCAAGAGACAGCTGATGAATGTCCCCAAGGCCTTGACTCTTGGGATGGCCCTAATGACAGTGATGTGCTGGTGAGTGGCGCAAGTTCTGAGATAACAATGAATCTCGAAGTTACGAATACTGAAAACAGCCCTCTAAGAGCCAATTTATCAGGAAATGATGACAGAGATAGTATTTCTAGTGAGTATACACTTTCAAGTGCATCCAGTCCTGACATAAATGATTCTTCAGCTGCACTGCCTTCCTGGGACCAAGGACCCAATACTGGGCATCAGAAGGAAAATCAGAATGATTGGAGTACACAGAATCACCAAGAATCTGAACTAATGACCACTGATGGTCATGTAGAAGTAGTTGCTGAAATGCAGGGTTTGGAGAAAAACAGAATGGACAGGTTTGAAAGGAGCTTAGATCACAAGGTTCCTAAATTTTTAGAGTTTTGGGGTGACTCAATAGATGGTGATTCCTTTTCTTCTTTATCCAGCCCAGAAACAGGTAGATATTCTGAATATTCAGATGCGTATCAGGAAAGAAATCTAGTGATCAGCCATCAGGAGAAAAATAAGCGTGGTCTTCCTGAAACTGTACAGCCAGAGGACACCAGCTTCATTTCAACAAGCTCAGGTTCTGATGATGATGGTGAAGGCTATGAAGAGTCAGTGGAGAAAGAGATCCATTCGGACACTTGTCAAGTGACTCCAAGTGAACTCAGAGCTTGGGATTCATTGAATAAATCTAATAAGTCCTTGGCCACAGTAGATCCTGAATCTGAGCAATGTTCTGTCTATAGAGGCAGTTCAGAGCGAGCAGAGAATGAGAATAAGTCAGACCCATCCTGTGATGACCAACAAAGCAGCCCTGATCACTGGAATTTCTCTCCAGTAAGGGAGACTGAATTACAGGTGACACCAGTGGATAAAGAGACAAGGTCTTCTCCAGAAACAGGGAGGACAGGAGATGTCATATGGCAAATATCTCCCAAAGCTGAACCAAATAATGAAAATTACTCTAAATTGGAGATGGCTGACTTCTCAGCTGAGAGCACAGAATGGTGGAAAGCCTCCCGACAGGAAGGGCAACCAATCGAGAGTGCGTTTGAAGGGGAGTTATCTAACTCAAGTGCTGTGCTAGAAATGAATTCCTCAGTGTGCGAAAACATGGGTCCCTGGGGAGTGCCCACTCAGGGTGATACTGAATCCCTGGCACTGCACGGTACCAATCCTTTCAATGATAACCATCAGCCACCCTTCCTAGATCATAATGGGGAGAATGCCCACGAGCAACTTTGGAACATTCAACCAAGGCAGCCAGACCCAGAAGCTGATCAGCTTAGCCAGCTTGTAATATTGGACCAAATTAAAGACACAGATTCCAGAGAACAAACCTTCATGTCTTCTGCCGGTGACGAACTTTCCTCCGAAGTACCTGCCCAAGAACAGTGTCAGAATTCAGTGCTGTCTGCCTGGGACCAGCCAGACTCGTCTTATACTTACACAGATGAAAATGGATGCATTGTATCTGGTGTAGCAGCAACTGAGTGTCAAGAAACAAATTGGTGGGAAGGAGAAAAATCACACCCAAGTGAAATGACAAATTCAAACATCACCTCTGAAGATTTCCCTGTTGTCAGTTCTAGCCGGTTGATGAACAAGTCAGGCTCTGAATGGAGTGACTCTACCCCTACTGAGGGCCCCCAGGGCACATTTGTTCCAGATATTTTACATGGCAACTTCCAAGAGGGTGGGCACCTGACCTCAGCTTCGCCTGACTTGTGGATGGGTGTGAAACAGCCCTTCAGTGTGAAGACAGATGGTGAGAATCCTGATATACTGACTCACTGTGACCACGACAGCAATTCCCAGGCTTCCAACAGCCCGGATGTTTGTCATGATTATGATGTAAAGCCAGAGACTAAGCAGTACATCAATGCTGGGCTGGGACCTGAAAGGGAAGCCAGTGAGTTATATCTCACTGAGCCAGAGATAGACGAAGAACCCAGACAGGAGCCTGGGCAGGAGTATGTCCCTTCTACTTTGGAGGTGTCCTCTGAAAACGTCATTCCACTGCCTCCAGCCAGCAAGCAGACAGACACAAATGACTCATCTCAGCCGCCTTCTTACGAGTGTTTTCCTGAACCTTCTGAAATTAATGGTGAAAACGATACAGGCTTAAAAGCATCAGAGCAAGGAGCCAACCCATATGTGGCACCGATTTTGGAACCTGTTGACAGAACAATCTCAATGATTGAAAACGTGGAAACTGGTACTTGTGTAACTTACCAAGAGCCAGCTGTGGACAGCAGCAGGTCTTCGATATCAGAAGACTTCCTTCCTCAGAGGCAGACAGAGGCAGGGGGCTTGTTGGACCATGAGAAGCCCTTTGTTACTCAGAATCCTGCCGTGGTTCCTGATGCTTTGCTAGCCTCGGACACTTGTCTGGACGTCAGTGAAGCTGCCTTAGACCACAGTCTCAGCGATGCCTCAGGTCTCAACACATCCACGGGAACAATAGATGACATGAGTAAGTTGACGTTATCAGAAGGTATTCCTGAAACACCATTTGATGGGGAGACAGGGAAGCAAGACATCTGTTCATCTGAAGCCTCATGGGGTGACTTTGAGTATGACGTCATGGGCCAAAATATTGATGAAGACTTAATGAAAGAGCCTGAACACTTTGTCTATGGTGGCGACCCTCCCTTGGAAGAAGATGCCCTGAAGCACAAGTTGGCACCTTACACACCTCCCTTTGATTTGTCCTATCTCACGGAACCTACTCCTGGCATCGACGCCGCGGAGGAGGCTGGGACTCCGGAGGGTGAGTCTCTGGGGAGCGAAGCCGCAGAGATACTGCTTTCTGCCCTTCCTGATGAAAGAAACCCGGAAAGCCATGCTGAGACCACAGATGGACAGCCCGGAGGCCAGCCAGTTGTGCTGCATATTCACGAGGACTCTGAGTCCGTTCCTTTGGCGGTAGGAATCCATGCCAACCCCGAGTTGTCTCCATCACACATTGACTGGGAGGTAGAAACAGATCGTTCAGATTCACCAGCAGGGGGAGACATAGGACCACCAAGTGGTAAGAAGCCTTTCATTCCTCCACGCTCGAGAAATTGCTGCTTTCATTCCATTAATGCATTTGTAAAATGCACTTTTCCTACCAATGTTGGTACAGAGGAACTAACTACATTTCCATTGCATGCTTAACCAAGTCTTGACTTACTGCAGTAATATCTACTGCTTATATAATAACTATCCTTGAGAGTGCATGCAAATTAAACAGCTCTACAAAATAAAAGTATTTTTTAAACTCTCTCTCTTTAGATAGATCATTTGCAAAGATCACAAGTCACATAATGTGTTAATGAAACCTTGTTTTCTCCTTCTCACCTTCATTTTTCACTTCTAGGTGCCAGTGAGGGAATATTAGAGTTGGAAGAAGAAAAAATAATTCCTACCGAAGAGCCTGAGCAGGTAAAATCAGAACATGGGGAGGAACAGTACACTGAGAAGAAAGAAGATTGTCATGCATTGCACATGGATTACATACTTGTAAACCATGAAGAAAATTCACTGCCAGAACCAGAGGCCTGTGAGGCTAGAGAAATCACATCGGAATTAGAAGAGCTTCACGTAGATTCTGAGGAAAAAGGGCTGCCAGAAACTCAGTTAGCCAGCTCCCCGGACACATGTCAACCAGCTTCCTTAAATGAAAGAAATCATCTATCTACAGAGAGAATGTCTTCCAAAGATGGTAAGAGATCATCTTTTAAAAGCCCTGGGCAAGACCAGAGGTGGATGGTCTTGGGCCGTAGTGAGGTTAGTGATCCATCATCGGAGACCATGGATTCAGGACCTGGATGGTCTGGTGAGGCTGTGGAGCCAGCCTCTGATCACAGCTTGGGCCAGAGCCCCCAAATACAGATTCTGGAAGAAATGAAGCCTGTAGAATCTTTAGCACTAGGGGAAGCCTCTGATCGGGGCAGCCAATCACGGAGGAGCAAGAGCCGAGGCAGAGCTGGCCCTGATGCAGTCATGTTGCAGCCTGTCACCCATGACAATGAATGGGAAATGCTTTCACCACAAAACATAATCCCTGAAACGGAAATGGAGGAGGAGACAGAGTTTCTTGAGCCCGGAACAAGGAAACCAAGACCAAATGGGTAAGCAAAAAACTACATTTATTCTTTTCCTGGAAACTATTTTGTTAGAGACTGGGGAATCAGTGAGGGATTATGGAGTATGAAGAATATCTAGATGATAGGAGCCTTGCTTACATGTATTGCAAAGCATAACATCAGTGAAAGCAGCTGCTAGATAACCATAATGATGATGAGGATTTGTGTATATTTTCAGCCAAAAAAGTCCCTTTAGTTTCCCATCCAGAGTCTTACACTTACCTTTCTGACTTCATCTAACTTACCTAAGTAAACTAACTTCCTTCATCTACTCAATATCTGTTTTACTTTTAAATAGTTAATTGGTACTGGAGGGGAACAGACACACATTTATTCATAGTGCAAGGCAGTTTGCACACATTATCTTACTTAATTCTTAGAACAACCCTCAAGTGGTAGGTTTTAATTTTTATACATACTGGTGGAGGTTGGGGAGTTGGGGCTCAGAAAGTTTCTATAACTTGCTGAGAATTAAGTAACTAGAGTGGGCACTCTGAGATCTGAGATTCAAAGTTTTCCATCTCCAAAACCTGTGTTTTCTAGCAGACACGCTGCCTATCATACAGAAAAGGTGATTCTGTTTTTATGTGAGTATGTAACTTACTATAGGGAATGAGGAGACTCCATAGCAGGCCTAAAATCTTCATGTGAAACATACATTCCTTAATTGACTGAAAATTAGCAAATAACCATCAAACCAGTAATTCATTCATTCATTTGCCATTTGGATTTTGAGAATCTGCTCTGGCCAAGTTTCTGGGTAGCCAGTGGACATTGTTCTTGCCCTCAAATATCCAGGCCCTGCTTTCAGGGACAAAAGGACATGTTGTGAAAAGTATCTTCGGTTACCTATTTCCTCCTTAAAGTAGTGGAGAAAAAAGTACCTTTTTCTTACTCTTGTTATTAAAGTTTAATTTTTAGCTTATATTGAAGTACAGTTGACTCACAGTGTTATGTTAGTTTCAGTTGTACAGCAAAATGATTCACTTATATATACACATATATCCATTCTTTTCCAGATTCTTTTCCCATATAGGTCATTACAGAGTATTGAGTGGAGTTTCCTGTGCTATACAGTAGTCCTTGTTGATTATCTGTTTTTATATACAGTAGCATGTATATGTTAATCCCAAACTTCTAATTTCTTACCCCCCCCCCAACATTTCCGCTTTGGTAACCATGAGTTTGTTATTGAAGTCTGTGAGTCAGTTTCTGTTTTGTAAATAAGTTCATTTATATAATTTATTTTTAGATTTCACATATAAGTGATACTATATGATATTTGTCTTTTCTGACTTACCTCACTTCATATGATAATCTCTAGGCCCATCCCTGTTGCTGCAAATGGCATCATTCTTTAATGGCTGAGTAATATTCCATTGTCTGTGTATACCACATCTTCTTTATCCATTCCTCTGCTGATGGACATTTAGGTATCCTCCTCCTACTCATTTTAGGAGCATAAAGAACTTTATACACTATGCCCACTGTGGGTCAAGGCAGCTGGATTTCAGCCTGGCTCTACCACTGCCACTTACTTGTTTTATTAACCCTAGACTTAAGTTTCCTCATCCGTAAAATTGGTGGGTCGGACTATAGGATCTCAAGTCTTCCTTCAATACTGAATCCTGCTACTTTAATTTGTGTATAAATAGAAAGTGTCCAGAGAGCTTTGACATTCACATTTCTCCATGAAAGCAGCAGAGAAATCAGAAAGAACAGTGGAGGAATATTGAAGGTTAGCAAAGTGCTATCAAGAGTTAAAAGCTGTGCCCTATTCAAGTGCAGCTTCGTAAATCCAGACATTTTCAGTTGGCCTAATCTTTCTTCCTGTCAAGCTGTTTCCTTCCAGAGAGACCTAAGATCCGTTATCAGAAAGAGAGTAGCAGATGGATCCCAGCGGCCCTGCTGGCATTGTTATAGATTGAGCTCAGAACACAGGCAGCCTTGAGTTGGCTGAGCTATTGTTTGGCTTCTTGTCTGCATTTTGCACATGCCACTGAAATCCAGCAGATGATAGTGTTCAGTGGTGCCACTTCCCCCTTTTAATGAGATTTCTTTGCTCATCTCTTTCTGCTCAACCCCTGCAGGAATGAAAATTTTCTCACAATTGGGGAAGTGGACAGATTTTCCCACTGGCATTTGTTTCTCCTTTTACCTAAATAATTTACTGTGAAGTATTTGAAAGCTTTTCTCTGTGCTAGATTTTGGAAGGAGGCAGAATTATCTAAAACAGTGGTTTTCTAAATGGGGCCCTAAAACCAGCAGGCCTCAGCATCATCTAGTACTTGCTAGAAAGATAAATTACTTGCTCTACCCCATACCTCCTGAATCAGGAACTTCGCTCATCTGTTTCAATACCTCCTCTAGAGCATTCTGATGCACAGTAGTTTGAGAACTGCTCGTCTGAAACTTAGTCCCATCCCTCTAGGAGTTATTTAATAAAAGAGTTCAACATAAATGAAAAGGTAGATAATAGTGTGATATTTAAATCAAGATAGTTGATGGCCAATGTCTGTTTAAATATAAATAGCTATCAGTTATGGACATTTGCCCTGGACCAGGTTCTAAGCATTGTATATGCAGAGTCACATGTTACCATGGAAACTGCATGGGGTAAAGATTACACAGGGGAGGAAACTGATGTTTAGGAAGTTTGAATCACTTCTCTGGTTTACAGTTAAAAAGTGAAGAAGCGAGGATTTGAAAGAGCCTCTTTATGTCTGGAGTATGTGTTCATGCTAGTAAATTAAGAGAGAGGCATTTGTGTAGACACTTTTTTTTTTTTTAATTGGAGGGTAATTTATTTACAGTGTTGTGATACAACGTGAATCAGCTATATGAGCACATATATCCCTTCCCGCTTGAGCCTCCCTCCCAGCACCCCCAACCCATCCCATCTGTCTCGGTCATCACAGAGCACAGAGCTGAGTTCCCTGTGCTATAACCGCTGCTTCCCACTAGCTAGCTGATTGACACATGGCAGTGTATGCATGTGTCCATTTACACATGTGTGTATGCATGTGTCTATGCATGCAGTCAGTGCTGCTGTCTCCATGGGCCCCACCCTCTCCTGCCCCCACTGCGTCCACAAGTCCTTTCTCTGTGTCTGCATCTCCAGGTTCATCAGTACTCTGTTTTAGACTTTGTATATATGTGTGTGTTAATTGTGTAGAATACTTCTATGGAGGAGGAACAGGATGGCTTATTATCCAGCCACATCAGGAGGCAGGGTGCCCAGGACCCATGATACTTTAAGAGGCCCATGAGAAGTTTTTAATTTTCTTTTCAAATCAAAAGAAAAAGTGATTGTATTCCTATGTGATTTATATTCTGGTGTGGATTATATTTCTTTATAATAATGCAGATGTGAAACAAAGTTTTAGGGTTTTGCTTTGTTCTACTAAGAGAAGGGGCCCATGGAAGCAAAAATGCCAAAGACATACAGAAGTCATGTTGCGGTCCTGAGAAGTGAGATTTGAGACAGGCATTAAAGAAAGGTCATAGTCTGGAAGGGTGAAGAAGTGGGTGAGAGGCTCCTAAGTTAACTGGGGGAGAGTAGCATAAAGGAAATCTGGAGACGGGAAGGTGATCGCTGAAGCAATGAGAAGATAGCCATATTTTTCACACCAAAAACCTGGAGACGTCTCATGCTTCACAGGCCAGTCAAGACTATCTAGAAAAAAATATATTAAAACCTAATCTTCCAAAATAAAAGTAGGCTAATAGTATACGTAGCAAGATGACACACCAGCTGCAAACTGACTTCTTGCCCTCACATCACCCAGCCACACCCTCTCTGAGCTCCCACACTGTTTGGAGAGCAGTAAAAAATGTTTTCAAAATCTGAGTGAGCATTGGAAAGATACATTTTCTCATCATACCCCACCTACTGTCTCTTGTTAACAAAACTTATTAGTAGATAATAGTGTGATATTTAAATCAAGATAGTTGATGGCCAATGTCTGTTTAAATATAAATAGCTATCAGTTATGGACATTTGCCCTGGACCAGGTTCTAAGCATTGTATATGCAGAGTCACATGTTACCATGGAAACTGCATGGGGTAAAGATTACACAGGGGAGGAAACTGATGTTTAGGAAGTTTGAATCACTTCTCTGGTTTACAGTTAAAAAGTGAAGAAGTGAGGATTTGAAAGAGCCTCTTTATGTCTGGAGTATGTGTTCATGCTAGTAAATTAAGAGAGAGGCATTTGTGTAGACACTTTTTTTTTTTTTAATTGGAGGGTAATTTATTTACAGTGTTGTGATACAACGTGAATCAGCTATATGAGCACATATATCCCTTCCCGCTTGAGCCTCCCTCCCAGCACCCCCAACCCATCCCATCTGTCTCGGTCATCACAGAGCACAGAGCTGAGTTCCCTGTGCTATAACCGCTGCTTCCCACTAGCTAGCTGATTGACACATGGCAGTGTATGCATGTGTCCATTTACACATGTGTGTATGCATGTGTCTATGCATGCAGTCAGTGCTGCTGTCTCCATGGGCCCCACCCTCTCCTGCCCCCACTGCGTCCACAAGTCCTTTCTCTGTGTCTGCATCTCCAGGTTCATCAGTACTCTGTTTTAGACTTTGTATATATGTGTGTGTTAATTGTGTAGAATACTTCTATGGAGGAGGAACAGGATGGCTTATTATCCAGCCACATCAGGAGGCAGGGTGCCCAGGACCCATGATACTTTAAGAGGCCCATGAGAAGTTTTTAATTTTCTTTTCAAATCAAAAGAAAAAGTGATTGTATTCCTATGTGATTTATATTCTGGTGTGGATTATATTTCTTTATAATAATGCAGATGTGAAACAAAGTTTTAGGGTTTTGCTTTGTTCTACTAAGAGAAGGGGCCCATGGAAGCAAAAATGCCAAAGACATACAGAAGTCATGTTGCGGTCCTGAGAAGTGAGATTTGAGACAGGCATTAAAGAAAGGTCATAGTCTGGAAGGGTGAAGAAGTGGGTGAGAG